TATTATATGTTACTCAGATCGTCGCACGTGTCACCGTCCTTTCAATCCAACGGCTGAAAAGACCCGATGAACACTGCAACTTTTCCTCCCATTGGTCCTTCCAAAGGCCAACACAAGATTAGTTGAGATTGTCACGTTCCCCATTAAAGGCAGATTCAACCGACCCGCCACGTGTCATCAGATCCGTTCCTTTTATCCGGATCTGGACCCAGACCCGTATAAAATACTCCCCATCCTCCCTCTCTCCCCAGTCCCCCCAACTCCCTATCCACCACAACCGGATTATATATTCCCCCAAACCAAACAAACAAACAAATACCGCCTCTTCCACACCTTCAGGATTTTCCACTCATGAAGACGCTTGCTACTTCTTGCTCCAAAACCTTCATCCACAAGTATGGCGATGGAGGGTTTAAGGATCTTTCTCTCAATAGACATGAAGTATGCTTCTTGCCTCCCAAAATGGCGCCCAATCCCCGCCGCTTCTTTCACCTGGTTTCTGTGCAGCACAAGTCGTTTCATCCGGTTCTTCCGTCTGCCTCTCTGCTGCCGGAATCGGAGGCATGTACCCTTTTATCTTTTTCCTCGTTTTTTATACTTTTCTTTGCCTGGGATTTTCTGGGGTGTCAGAGGTTTTTCTTTGTTTCTTCTTGAAACTCAAAATTTGCCTTTTTCCAAATCTTGGGTATGAGGGTGGTTGCTGAGTTTGGTTTTTCATTTTCCTTAAAACTTTCATGTGGTTTCTTGGAAACCAAACAAAGCATGCTAGTGTGGCTGTGATTAGCTTTTGATGGATTAGGGAATCTTGTTTTCTTTTTGTCTACTTCTAAACAATTCATATGGAATCCACTCATGGGCTTTTACAACGTGGGTTCAGTTCTTGAAAAGGACAAAAAAAAAAAAAATTGTTTGCAACTTAACAATTTTAGCTTTTTGCTAAATGGCATGGTTCAAGGAAAATCAAGGAGGTAATTTTATTGACATTTTTATGAATCGGAGGTACTAACAGTTAGTAATTGATTGATATATACTTGGTATGAATTTCTGCATGCAGGTGAGCTTGGAGACAACAAGTGAACATCAAGAAGGTTGTAAGTTCTTATTGGTCTTTATAATATATTTGGTTGTTTTTCAGGATTTTGAATCCCATTTCAACACCTGATGCACAGATTTCTCGAAGAAAGTTCATGTCAAATTCCAATTGCAAAAAGAGTGCAAATTTGGGGAGCGTTTCCTCATGGTAGGGGATGATTCCATGTTTGGCCTATGGGATCCTGAGAGTGGTATTCCTATGAATTGGTCAGAGGGACATGTCTGGAACGTTGAGTTGGTAAGAAACTTGTTCAAGAATTATAATGAGTTGTCCTTTTTCTCGGAGGCTAAATTGATTCGGGATTGTGGCTTTGTATTTGACCAGGATATACCTGTTGGAAAATCAATTAATTTCAAGTTCATTTTGAAAAGCAGCCGTGGAGAGATTATCTGGCAACCAGGCCAAGATCGGAATTTGACAACTTGGGAATCTGAGAATACTATCATTGTATGTGAAGATTGGGAAAATGCTCAGTATCAGAAAATAATGGAGGAAAAACCATTGGTTGAACAACATGAGGAATCTACACTTCATTCTGGGATGGCGATTGTTACAGAGAAATTGACAACTCCTAGGAAAGATATGATGTCTAACGAAGACCAGGGATCAGAAGTTGTTGATGACAATAACTATACAGCAAGGGCATCACTGCAAGCAACATACAATGAAGTAGCTGCAGATAATGGTGTTCCTTCACCTGAGAAGTCTATAGCTATTGTTGCGGACAATATCAGTTATCCTGAAGAAGATTTCATGGCAAATAGGAACACTGATGTGTTTGGTGACAAGGATGAACCTGCACATATTTCAAACAACTCTGTCATAGTGGCAGAGGAAATTGTAGGAGACAATGGCTTAGCTGTAACATTCAAGAACCCCACACCTGCAAATATGGAGGGAAGTCTGATTACCCATGAGGGAGATCCTGTTCTGGTACCTGGGTTGACAACTTCATCAACATTGTCGTCATCTGAAGAAGGAATTCAAAATGAAGATGAGAAGAATAATATGACAGATGCTTCCATTAGAGTTGATGAAGCTAAAATTCACAGTATGCCGGAGGTAATTGCTTGACGAGTGTGATGCATTGCTTTGTCCCTTTTTTTTTTTTTCATCTTTTTCCTTTCTTCCTGTTCTCTAGTGCTGCTACAAAGCAAGAAATAAAACTTTAAAACCATTAACCACTGTCTTCTCCAGTGTTAAGATATTTCATACTTCTAGAAACAATATGGTCACAGCTTGTATCTTTCTGAACGTTTGCTAAAAGAGAAGCTCTTTCTAAGATGGGATGGAAAAAAGTAGCAAGAGTGCTCTTTCTGTTCATCAATATAAAAGTATGAATATCAATTATCATTAAATGGAATAAGAAGATCCTTAAAATGTATTGAGTTTATGTCTCTCGTTTCCACTGTCAACAATCAAAGGAACCTGTACCATCTTTACTAAATGCTTATATTATTGCAGTGAATTGTTTCTACAAGTATACAGCTGAACCTTTTTGTTGAATGTTAAAAAAAAAACTGAAATTTATTACCTTTAAAGGCACTACTTTTTATGATTTTTTGGTGCACACTATGTACTACCATGTGCTCTGATCCAAACATTTGGCACTCAGAAGTAGAAAAAAGAAGAAATTGTATCTTCACTTTGTGAGCATGAAACAGAATAATCAATTACTTGACCAATTTGACAGTCTGATGATATAGGGATATGATGCTTGTGTGGCTCTATCATAGATGGGTTGGTTAAGGCAACTCATGATTCTCCCCATGCAATAGATAACATGACTCTCATGTTGAAGATGCAAGCCTTAATTGCCTTTTGTACTTTTATTCTCATAGCTGAAATTTAAATAATATACAGTTTGATGAGAAGCAAGAACCTGAAGGCTCACATCAAGCAAAAACAACTGAGATATACAGTGATGATGAGCAGCAGCTTTACAACAAACTTGGTCATAAGCTTCTTCAGGGCAGAGAGGAACAGCCTGACTCAGAGCCTCTACATGATAGTGTCTTGGAAAACGACATCGTCACTGAGATATCCAGGGATGATGAACAGCAGCTTGATAACAAACTTGGTCATAAGCTCCTTCAGGGCAGAGAAGAGCAGCCTAACTCAGAGCCTCTACATGGTGTTGTCTTAGAAAACGACATCATCACTGAGATATCTAGTGATGATGAGCAGCAGTTTGACAACCAACTTGGTCAAAAGCATCTTGAGAGCAAAGAAGAACAGCCTGATTCAGAGCATGTTCATGGTAATATCTTGGAAAACGACATCAACTGGGGTCGTAAAATACTAGAGAAGCTTCTAGAGAATTTGCGATTTCTTTAGCTAGTGAACACTGGTAAGGAATATAGTTACATTCAATCAAAAGCAATGACAAAGCCTTTATGGTGCTCTTAGTTTCTTATAGTTTAGTTCGCAAAGGAGAAATAGGCAGTGCTTGTGCTGTTCTCTGTACATATACATTCCTGTGCTGTTCTCTGTACATATACATTCCTGTGCTGTTCTCTGTACATATACATTCCTGTGCTTTATGTTTCTATAATGCTAGAGTTGAAGAATATTGTGTGCAGTTGCTTTAGCATGTAATAATGCATTCATAGGTTAGGTACTTTTTCCTTCGCTGAGCGGCAAATATAATCCAAAGTTTTATGAGGATTGTATATATGTTTATTTTAGTTGACACTTGGAAGGTACTTTTTCCTATGCAATCCTGTTGGTGATTATACAGATACATTGACGTCCAAAAAATATAGTTCCTAAGTTCTAATATGGTATGACATTTCTGTTTTTATTATGCAATGATATGCCAGCTAGTTAGTGAATTCTTAACAATTTATATTTGTTTGGAAAGCTGAGATGGCTCTCATTTTTGCTATCACTTGTTTCGTACTCAACTGAATGTTTCTACACTTGTTTGGAGTTTGTCTACATCTGAATAATAATTTAACAGGTAAAGTGTCGAGTTTCTGGAGATGCTTCTGGGGATACACAAAGGACTTAAATCTGCTCGCCATCTCCATGGACACCCTGCTTTTCTTTTTTCAAAAAAATTATGCATGGAATTGGAGGTTGCTTTTCATATCAGCATCAATAATTGCAAGCGCATAGCGTACGTTGTTTGTGACTGTTGGTCTTTCTAAAACAATTTGTTGAAAACCAACGCCAGAATTCGCATCCCTCAAACTCAAAGTCCCCGTTATGTGAACCAGGCCAGACTTTTAAATTAAAAGTGAATTAGACTTGAAAAGGCTTACATACAATTTGATGAAAGTATTTATGAACTGGATTTTTAAAATATTAAGGTGAAAATTTCCCAATGAAATATATTAAAATAATTTATTTTTTTAACAAAAATAAAACTACTTTGATTTTTTCATCGTGCTTTATTGAAACCATAATTTGAGAATATTTTTCTTCTTAATATTTAATAAATTTGGGTAATATATACTAACCTCATATGGTTCACTGGCTTAAAATTTTATTTTTTTGTACTAAACTTTTAAATTAGAAGTGGACAAAAGGTATATATAAATTTTATTTTATTTTTTAAACGGGAACCAGTCCAGGCATAAGACTCCAGTAAAATTCCCCTGGTACAAGCTCCTGCGTGTCCATTAGCAGGGACAAGGGATTCTTTTCTTGCCATATTCCTATGTACGTAGAATTTATCATCAGCATGGGTTCTTCGAATGCGGGCAGTCAGACTTATGTGTAAGCTAGAGGTGATGCTGTACAAGGGTCAAAAGGGCAAGCTCTGCCTGGACGTCAACTAAACCAGTGGGCAGGAAATAAGGCAACAATGCAACATGAAAAAAAAAAAATGATAGCCCATATTTCCATTGGAGAAGGCTCTTCACCTCACATTTGCTGACTGTAATGCTGCTAGGTGGCACGAGCAGCTGCCTTTATGAGATGCTTAAATTAGGGCTCTCAAAAAACCTCACTCCAAAAGCTTCCAATTCCAACGACTTTTTCATGAAACAGCAGAATGCCCACTTTTCTGTTGCCTAGAAGACGATAGACTTTGTGATCCATGTAGAGATTCATCCTTTAATCGTTTGCTTGAAGTAGATTGCAGCAATCTGGGTATAGTAGAAAATAACCAATGTAGAAGGAAAAAAATTGCATATCCAACTGAGTTTCTAGAAGGTAGGGCATGAGTTGGGGTAAAACGAGTTTCCATGGTCCTTTTCTTCGGGGCAACCTAAGTGGAGTGATTCAGATGACAGATTGGTGTGGGGATGAAATTTACCTCGGTGAATTGACACGCTTTTGTGCTTGCTGATTTAACAAGGCAGATGAAGTGCTCCCAGGTTCTGTTTTGACAGGCTGAAAATCATTTGCCAATTAATGTAAGAGATGAATATATGTATACGCTATTAAAGTCGTTAAAAGCAGACCAGCAGAAAATGACCAATCTCAAATTATTCAGAAAAAGTCAAAATGATGGGATCTCCAAGAGCAAGTGCAAAAAATAATAAAAAATAAATAAATCAGTTCATTTTCTTTAAGAAACTCTTTGAGGAAATTTTCCAAATTTATATCAAATCAACTGACTTTGTGACTTATAATTTTTCTTTATCAATAGTTTTGATTTGATGGAATAAGTAGCTGAATGAACTACTTGGGAGTACTTGGATAAAGGGCAGAAACAAGGGGCTGACCACTGTGCGCATACCTCTTAAGTAGGAGTAAATGCAGCCACAAGGCAGCAGTAGCAGACATGAAGCCAGCTCACTCTCCTTTCATTGTTTTAGCTCTAACATCTTCTTGCCAATGCAAAATCCAAAGAGTGGCTTCTCCCAGATAACCACAAGCCCTCATCTGGAAATTCTTTGCCCACCTACCCCTTATCCAAGCATCACCAATGTTTTTGCTTTTTGAAAAAGAAATCAAATCAATTAGTGATAGCATCACGAGAAATCCCCACCTCCGGAGTCTTTTCTTTTGGCAACCCATCTTCTCTTGACACGTCATTCGATCCGGCCCCGGGATTTACTAAGTCCCACAGAAATCCATTTTCATTTCCAAGAGAAACCTCATCAAAGTCTTTTTTCACAGCTCCAGAACGAGATGTGATATACGCCACATATTTTTCTGAATAGCATAAGCAAAAAAAATAAAAAATAAAAAAAATCAATAAAAGTGCCTTTGGATGACATCATAGGTGAAAAAATCACAACCAACCAAAAGAGAACACATTATTTACCATTAACTTTCACATACTAGATAATGCAATTGATATAATTTTAACTCTATTAATCAGCATTTGATATTTGTATAGTCCACATCAAATGATATTTTATGATATCCAACAATCACACAATCCTCTCCCTACATACCTGCTAAGCTATGAAGAGCATGCTCAGCTGCTTGTTGTTGAGCATCCTTTCTTGTCTTCCCCATTCCAACACCTATCTTCTCGCCAGTGAAAAAAACCTGAACCAATGAAAGCCAGAGGATAAAATTTAAAAGCAATAAACCCTTAAAGTGACTCATGAAAGCATAGATCCAATACCTTGCACAAAATAAATACACAACAGAACTGGTATCTATTACAAGTCAAATATCCATGACAAACCCCAGTAACATTACTGGTACTTGTAAGATATTTTCAACTGACCTCAACAGAAAAATGCAAATCCTTACTGGTACTTGTAACAGGTCTGAACTCAACCTGCACAGGAAAATTTGAGAATCTCAAAATGACCAAGGCAACCATGCTCGAAAACAAATTGATCCTCAAGCCAACCAACATGTACCTTCAAACCACACCTTCGTGCAATTTCTTGTAGAACACCAATTGATAAATGGGAAGCAAGAGCATTTAATTTTCCACCTTCAGCTTGAAATTCTCGGCTATTAGAAGAAATGTGATTCTGAGATCTCCCCACATCTACAGAAGATATTAATTAGTAATAAAACAATGCTAGGCACCACTCACCTGAAACAGTGATAGTAATATAGTGTTTGCGCATTCTGAATCTGAGTTGATATAGTAGTTCATATAGGCCAGTCAAATGAAGGCCTCAATCATTGTCTACTTCTGTATAGATGTATACTTCTGTATATATGTATGTATTTATCATAGCATTAGGCATTAACTCAGCCAATTCATTTGTTCAGCAGCAAGAATAACTCAACATATTCATGTGTATGAGGTGGAAAAGGATAAGATCTAGGTCCAGACATTGCAGTTCTAAATTTCCAATCACTTAGAATTTTAGGTACTTCAATAAATAATAGGATTTACATACCTGATACCTGACACGCATGTGGAAGATTTTGCTTTTGTGTATCATGTCCAAGGTGCATCTGCTACAAGAGAAAATTTTAGAGTCACAAGTCTGGAAGAGGTGGTTTAAGGAATTTCTAACAAACCTCTTCAACTTTCACTTGGGTTGCATGTGGGCTTAGACTGGTGGAAGAAGCTGCTGAACTTGGAGAAAATGGATTCTGAATGGGTTGCAGTTTATCAGATTTTGCGGAGTCAGATTCTGTTATATGCACTCTTTTGAAGTCTTCTACAACTAATGAGTCCCCCTGTGGCTGCACTGATGATGAGGACAATTGTGCTGGTACTCTAGATGAAAATGGGGCTTGACCTGTGCTTTGATTCCTTAAATCTAAATGAGGCTTGATGCTAGGGACTCTTTTCTTCGTCTCATAATCACTATCACCGGTGACGCTATCCCATCTAACAGGAGCTCCAAGCAAGATAGGTTCTATGACAATTCAAAACAAAAAAATCAGAAAAGAAGTGCAAAAAACATGCCCCTACACTTCACTATAAAGGAAAAGAAGACTACTGCTAAACTGAAATCCATACTCTGGGAGGGCAATAATGCTGTTGCAGATGCTGGGCAAACACCATCAGGGAAAATGGAAACAGGTGGCTGAGACAATTCAGATTTCAACTCAGGGCCACTGATTGCTACATGAGTAGACGAAGAATCAGAAGCATGCTTCTCATCCTAGAAAGAGAGAAGGAAATGGGGAAAAAAAATTAACAGGAATCACTTATAGTGGTTGCAGATAAACACAGGCAAAGTAAAATCCCAAAATCAGCACTGTGCACAGAAAAAGCCTCCAATCTGTTAGTAAGGGTTTTTAGTCCTTTTAACTGTTTTACATAAACCCTACACATAAGTGTATGTTTAACCATGTTTCTTCTGTATGATTACATGTATAATGTTCCACTTATGTGAAGCACATATGGGCTGCAAGGAAAGCCATAAAATCCTTCGCAAAATAAAGACATGATCCCAACAATTCAAGGCAGGCTGCATGAATTGAACTTCATTCCTGAATCACAATATAAATAATCTAAACATACTGATTGATTAAGTCTCCTTTCCACTTCAGCCCCATTCATTCCTTCACCAATAGGAGCATTTCCATTGCCATTTGATGCTAAACCAAGATCCTGCAATTTGGCAATAGGTAAATCCTAGAATACAAAAACAAAATAAAATAAAAAATAAAATTCCAAAATTTGAATTTAATGACTAATAATCAGCATTTTCACATTAAGTACCTCAGTCATTAAGTAGTTGCTCACATCAGGGGCATGAGGCAAGTTTACCATTTCATCTTCATAAAAAACTTCAGAAATTTTTCGTGATAAATTCTCATCAAACTCTCTGGATAATGAATGGCATCAGAAATAGGAGAGTAAGCCTTAAGTAAAATGTAGGAATATAAACCAATATTGAAGGACTTGAATGAAAAAAGGAATTGGCGGATCTTACTTAAAGAAATAACCCCTGACATTGCATGCAACATTTCTTGCCACACAAAGGACTGGAACGGCATTTGCTGTCTGATAATGGACAAGAAAATTGCAACTAGATTTTATGAGAAAAGGGGGGGAATAAACTCAATTAGTAAGCATGATAAAGGACGATGCTATACCTCAGCCTGAGGAGCATAATAAGGAAGGAATGGGGGAACTACATGAACTCGGGGTTGATCCTTATCCTCCCAGACCTTTGCACGGTCATCAATTACCATTGCCATCTTTGGATGGCATGTACCATCTCGGAAGACATTTAGCAAAGACTTCCTAGCACCTGCGAAATCCAAAATGATTGGACTTAAAAAATGGATTAAATAAAAGAAAATGTTGCTACATCACATTACTAATGCTCTTAGTTTGAACAATCAACATCATAACAGAAAATTAAATGGAACTTAGTTATATAACAGGGATAACTTTAGAGTAATTATCTCCTAAATCCTGATTTGAATAAATGTCAATAAAATAAAATACATACTCATTTACCTGAATTGACGCAAACAACTCGGTCAAGTAGTTGCTTTGAACCTATCAGGTGCGCCTCTGGATCAAGAAGCCTCCACATTTCTAAGGCATAGTCCCTTTCAGCCATGGTACAAACATAAACTTCAAAACGTTTCCGCCCTTTTGCAGTTAAATAAGTTCTCAAATCTTCCCATGCAGGTCTTAACCTCACAAGCACACTGGTATCACGAATCTGTATAAAGAAAACCATTCATAAATAATGTAATGAGTATGGGTATCTGCAGTAGATTCCACCTAATACTATTTTGAAGTAATGAACAAACTTAGTGGGTGGATAAAAATTAGAGAAGATACAGCATAATCCAGAGTTAAACAAAAACTCCAAAATGTGATTAACAGGTTCTGAGAAAAAAGTTGACTTTAGTTGGATTAAAACATCAAACGACTAAGGATACCATGAAATAATGGGCTTTAACACTATAGTAGCACATATTCCATATAACCAAGGATATTGAAATTTAAACATATAAAGCCTATGCAAAGTTCAATCAGTTGGTAATTATTTTATTATTTTTAAAAACTAAGAATTTTGCTCGTCATCTAGTTTTGCCACTATAAACTGGCTTCCCATATCTTATGATTCTTATCTATCTCCCTTACTGCCTTGCACACCCACATTGAATTACCCTCTTATTAAAACAGAACACATGTTTCACACACCTAACAATTGTCTGACGTTCAAATCTGTTACACAAGTATTTATGCATTATTTGGAATCCAGGAAACTAAAAAATGTCCTGATATCGAAGGAGACAGGACATAGTTTTAATTAAGTTGACCCTACTCTAAAAGATGCAGTTACTCCCAGACATCAGCTCAAGTGCTCAACCAAGCAACTCTCTATAAATTAAATTGCACTTTAAGCTATCAATCATTCCCCTTTCTCCGCTGATCACTCCACCGATTTGCAGGAGTTAACGAAATTAAATGTAAAAAAAAAAAGAAACACTGATACGCAGATAACTTTCAACAAGGAAATTTTGCTATCAGGATCTCTAACCTCAGGACTGATTCGAGTAAGAACAATATTCCTCTCCTGCAACCTTATCACAGGTCGAACAACTCTGTCATGACCATCGGACGGTGGAGGAACCTCTTCCATTTGAACCTTAAACACCTTTCCATCATCCACAACGCAATCATTCTCAGTATACTGCTTCAACAGCCATCGATCTTCTGAATACCTTTTCAATTCAGCAGACATCCCAAAAATCCGTACTGGATCACTCTCACGGGTCATCCAAACCTTAAGAGCCTCAATCTTATCATCAAACGACTTCATGGTGTTGGCCACAATAAGAGTCTCATCAAGATCAAACACAATTGAAAGACAACGCATATTCAGCATCCCTAAACAGGAAACATATAGACCCATCGGAGCCGAATAGCACCAAAAGCATGGAAATTTCTTCTGCTTACTCGGCATTGCCACCAAGTGAATCTCTTCCTCCCCAACCAGCACCACCGCCGTCTGTATACGAAGTCAAATTCACAAACTAAGTGACTAAACTAATTCAAAGAAAAAAAAAGAAAAAAAGAAAGAGTAAATCCCGATTACATTGCCCGCATCCACCCAAAAAAAAAATCTAAAATAAACAAAAGAAAAACTCAATCGGCGTCAAGACCTTGAATTCATAGAAACAAGAGGAGTGGAGATGAATCAAATTCGGCTGTTCGACAAGAGAAGATGATTCAAGCTTGCAGCGAACCGAAAACGAGGAAATCGTCTGCAGAACGGAGAGAGGATGGCACCGTTCACTGAGCGGCGATATGTGGTGGATTCGAATCTCGTTATTCGGAAACTGAAAGTTCTCTTCCGATACAGGAACAGTGTCCAGCTCCCCCAGCCACACGTCGCCGTGATACACGACGGATTTAAACCCTAAACCGCTCATTTCCGCCACTCCCGATTTGATGTCGAGGAGACAACTGAAGAAAATTTGAGTAAAAGAGAGACGAACATGCAAATGTGTGAAAAACTCAGGGAGTCCTGGAGCAATTTCTGCAAATTTCTCACTCTCTCTCCCTCTTCGCTGTGGTTCTCTCACTCCGTTTCTTCTCTATTTATAAAGAGTAACCATGCGTCCATTTAAATATCAGAGGAATTGTTTGAATTTACGAAAATAGCCCAGTGTACGGTCCAGTTCCAGTTGGTCAGAGAAAATGCGGACTTTATGATCTAAAAAAAATGAAAGAGAATTTTTTTTATAATTTTTATTATACAATATTATTCAATAATTAAATTTTTTATATATAAAATTTATAATATTATATATTTCATAATATATAAAAATTAATATAAAATTATTATAAGAAAATTTATAGATAATATGATTACCCTTTTATGATTTTTTTTTTTTTTTGAAAAGGGGCAATTTGAAAAGGGGTAAATATCACCTATAAAATTTAAAAACACAACCCATAAAATGTAAATTTAATTTGACTGAGGATTTCGATCACTAAATCGGAACATGGGATCCTTTTATGATATGTTGATCTTAGCAAAAAGTCGGATGTATTGACACGTGGCAGTAATAAGGCTTTAATTTTTTAAATGGACTGTTGGATGGATGGGGTTTGAGGCATTCCTTCATTTTAGTGGCGAAGATTTCCCAGGTTAAAATTGTAATTTTGGATGTCAAATAATTGTTCTTTTTTTTACAAAGATAATGATTAATAGTTAAATTAAAAAATGTTAGTGATAAAAAAAAAAGATAATGATTAATAGTTAAATTAAGAAATGTTAGTGATACGAGAATCATTATCAAGAACAAGTGATTTTTCACCTTTTTCGTTGAGACGCGTGACTTATTGGGACGCGTAACTCATCGAACCACATTATGGAGATCAAAATAATTGTTGTTGATTCTTTTTAATTAGTTTATTGTATTTTATTTTACACAGTGTGCATGATGATGGTAATTTGGAATGTGTACACTTATCCTTTATTGTGATTAATAAATATGAAAGCATTGTTTATGGAAGCTTAAGCTTAAGCTTAAGCCTACAACAAATGCTGAAACAATGATTATTAAAAGACATAAATGCTTAAAACAAGTTTAGCACAACATGTTTTTTTAAGAAAGAAGAGCTTGTAACTTATTATGGTAGCTTAATAGTTAAGAATTAAAGATTTTAAATTAAAGATTTCAAATTTGAATTTTAAATTTAGTATGAACGAATTTCAAAAAAAAATGATGTCTATTTTTTCTTGTATAATTCGTTTAAACATGTAAAAAAAATTTATTGATTTATAATCTAAATGATATTAAATTATAAAAATTTAACTGATGCAGAAAGAGTTCCTGCATCAATGAGCCTACTCCTTCATATCCAAAATCAAAAAAATAAAGCATAATTATATGTACATTTATTGATAATAAAACGAAATAATAATTTATTTAAATCATAAATCAAAATTATAAATACATCTATTGATAACATTTTTATTTTTTTATATTAAATAACAAATTATAAAATAAAAAATATTTTTTTAATTTTTTTAAATTTATTTTAAAATTTAAAATTTATATTTTTAATTTAAAATAACAAGTTATTAACTGATTAAAAAGTCTCGTCGGGTCACAATTACAATTTTAATTTTTTCCACACGTTTAATTGAATTGATTTTTTCAAATACAGTCCATCCTGAAAGAGTCATTTTCTTCTTTAAAATCTCAAACCTTCAAGCTTAATTAATCAGCGATCTATCCAGATGATGAAGAGTACAAGATTTGAGTCTGATTTTATTCTCTCCTTCGTGGCATGTATCGGATAAGCGCAACTATTAGAAGCCTAGTGTAGCGAAAACACCAGAACATTGCTCCGCCGCCCCTATTCAGTGGAATCTGCGATGTACCTGTACACCTTCAGGGGAAGGATCCAAAGCGCTCAACCTCACGCTACCTACCACGTGGCAACATTTCATTAGCTGAAAGAATGGACCAGACTCAATCATATCCTGCCACTTAAGATTTTGCTGTCAACATCAATACACAGAAGTATCACATCAGTCGTGACTCCCCACCCCCTGATCAGTGCATTGAAGCGTTTCTAAGTTTGGACACACAAAGGTGAAGACCGGAGACTCGCCGAAACCGTAGCGATCGGTGGGTGTCGGAAGGAAACAGAGAAGCGTATATTACTACTACTACTTAACGATGGCGTCTCGTCCCTTTGACGATGATGGCTACATAGGCTACGATCCTCGCCTCCAGTCCCAGCGATTCGACTCGTTTTCCAACTTCGATGCTGATTCAGTCAAGGAGTCGGTCCCTGACTCGCCGCCGGTATTCAACAGTCAGTCATACGGTTCTGGAGATGACGTGTTCGTTTCTCAGCCGCTTCCGGAGACTCCGTCACCTCCGCCTATCTATGGCGGTGGATTCTCGGAGTTTTCGCCGGAGCAGAACGGAAAAGATCTCGGTGGAGACTTTGGAGGATCGGATGGTCCGATCCTGCCACCGCCTTCGCAGATGGAGCCGGATGAGGGCTTTGCTTTGAGAGAATGGCGCAGGTAGGCTTCTTCGTTTCTTCGTGTTATTGATTCTCTGGTTCATGTTTCTTTGATTTATCAGATGGAGCCGATCGCCTTTTGGTAGATTATTGAAAGTTCTGCTCTTGATTTTAGCTTTTGATTTGTTCATTCAGATTTCCTTCAAGGTCGAATCTATTTGATGTCAATTGATAATATCTGGAATCTTTTCCAGTCTGATTAATTTTTGGAATTTTGATCTGTGGTGATGTGATTATGAATTTATGATATAATCTATGGAGTTATGGATGCACAGGTTAAACGCGATTAGGTTGGAGGAGAAGGAGAAGGAGGAGAAAGAGATGCGCCAGCAAATAATTAAGGAAGCAGAGGAGTACAAAGTTGAGTTCTACAAGAAGCATGGTACAGTTGTGGAGAACAACAAAGCCACCAACAGGGAGAAGGAGAAAGTGAGGGATTTCTCTATCTTCTTTACAGTTCATTGTTCATTCATGAGTAGAATGATTTGAATGATTTGCTTACATGGAAGGAGGAATATTGAAATGGATTATATAATTGAGTGGTTCAGCTTATGAACTCTGAATACCACTTTAGCTAAGCTCACTTGACACTAAAAATGCTTGTACACAATTGATGCTAAAAGAATAGAGACATAGATTTTATGAGCTCTTAGTGTGTTTATTGTAGTTGCCAGGAGTACCTTGGACATCACCTGACTCTGAATAGAAACTGAGGATGGTGACATGGAGTAGAGCAGAATTTGCTCTAGTTTTTCACCTGGTAATTTCTGTTGGAGTTGCTTCAGAAAGAATGTATAGAAACTAGAAAGTATGAAAGGCAGGTTCATTATCTCTATGGATTTCTGTTTTTGGTGGTTTTTTAATTAAATACATAAGAGGGTCATTGGCATGCATATTAGGCTAATTTGTGGAGTTTGTTGAACATTTTTAGGTTTCATCCAAGCTAGAGTTTATTTGGCAATAGGAACTCACATTTTTGGTTTTTCACTTGACTATCATTTTATTTTATTGCCTTAACCTTTTAAGAGAATGTGAGTCAATGAAACATGTACTGATCCATGCTTTGGATCTTATATGTCAGCTTTTTTTGGCAAGCCGGGAGAAGTTCCACGTTGAAGCTGACAAGAATTACTGGAAAGCAATTGCAGAACTCATTCCCAACGAGGTACCGACCATAGAGAAGAGGGGCAAAAAGGAAAAAGAGAAGAAGCCTTCCATTGTTGTGATCCAGGGACCAAAACCCGGAAAACCAACTGATCTCTCTAGGATGCGTCATATCCTTCTGAAGCTGAAGCACAATCCTCCTCCCCACATGAAGCTCAAACCACCGCCATCAGAACCCAAGAAGGATGCAAAAACTGGTACTTCTTCTGTAGCTGGTTCCCCCAATGCTGGCCCAAGCACTTCTCCTCCACAAGCTTCTGCAGCTGCTGTAGCAACAGCCACTACGCCTGAGACCGTAGCCAATGGTTGAGAATGAAGTGCTTTCAGTGTTAGGTCCGTTTATCTGTGTGAAAAGTAGCCAGTCACTGATCAGTGTGAATCATGAAATTCTATTTGTATGATCCTTGTGAATTCTAAGGTTAGGAATCTAGTACTCTCGATTTCTATATATTTTTTTGTGTTAACTGTGCCGATTCTGATGATAATGTTAATATCTTTGTGTGGTTGTATCTGTAGCATATTTCTCTGATGTCCTCAAAATCATCTTGCTCTGTATAGTATTCGAAAGTAGCCATTCAGGCTATCTATACCTGTAAACATTAGCAATTTTTGAAGTTAAAATACTTGTAAACATAGGTTCATAGTTCTTGCACATAACCAATACAAGCTTTTTCCTCCCCTCAAGATGCTATGTAAGTAAGCATTTGGGAAACGGAACATGATCAATGCAAAAATGAAACCTAGGGAAAAGCATTATTTTCTTAGACATAAATTTTCTCATCGTTAATTGCAAGTGTTATAGACAGGGAATTAATGTGCGCGCTTTTGCTGGTATAACTCAAAATGATCATCAGGAAACTGAGCAAAAATGGGAATCAAGGGGAAAAATGAGGGTTCAAGCTACCTAGGGAACATTTGTGTAATGCTGGAAAAGCTAATTATCTGGGATGAAGGTTCTGCTAATTGTTTGTCTTTGTTCTTTAGCGAAGATGTCTCCCCTGAACTGCCGCCACCTGAGTGCTGAGAGTGGCGTCCCCTGTACACACCAGGCTTAGTTAGTGCCTTTTCCTTGAGGTGAACTTCTCTGGAGAGCATCTCCACGACTTGTTTCATGTCTGGTCTTTGGTGTGGAGCTTCTTGGGCGCAGAGAAGGGCAACCTTGAGGAAGCGGATCACCTCCTTCTCTGGAAATTTGGTTAGTTCTGGATCGACAATATCCAGAAGCCTTTCTTCTTCTCTCAGTTTCCATGCCTGCAACAACATTGAAATTTCAGTCACAACATTGGTACATGCTCCTAGTCTTTTAGGTATCCATAGTAGTGTAATTATTGTCTTGCAGAGCAATGATTAGACATTGTAACAATGAGAGAAACTCCCTCTGATTCCTAAAAGGAGACAGTAGATGGGAAAACTTAATACCCAGCCAAAGCCAAAGCTATGTTTTCTCAGTTGATACACAAATTAGATTTTGGCATTATTTAGTGTAACTAACAAACAAAAACTAGAGAACCTACCCATTCAACCAGAAGCAACATATCCTTCCCAAACGCAGCTTTACTATTACTTCTGCCGCTAATTATTTCAAGTATGAGCACCCCAAAGCTATAGACATCTGCCTTCTTAGTAAGTTGTCCTGAAAGGGCATATTCTGGGGCCAAATATCCCCTGCAGATATGCAAGATTATCAGCGAAAGAGGGATTAACAGAAAACGGAAAGCAAAACGTCACAGGTTTTATTAACTATCACATGAAAGAATATCATGAGGATTCTGTGTTTGAAATGACTAAAATCTGAAAAACAGGCTTAGTCATGCAAAGTTTATCATACTTTAGTTATTTCAAATTCATTCCTTAAATATTAGAAAATATATTTCAAGGGTGTCCGCATCCATGAATCCTGCTAAATACCAATCATAGCTTTCCAAGGAGTAGAATAAAATGAAACACTACTTCATGCTTACACTGTTCCTGCTACTTGAGTACTGACATGAGTAACATTATCTGGAAAAAGTTTGGCAAGCCCAAAATCTCCTATCTTAGGATGAAAGTTTTTATCAAGAAGTACATTACTAGCTTTGATATCCCTGTGGACAATATTTGGGTCTGCTTCATCATGGAGAAAAGCAAGACCAGAAGCAGTACCCAAGCAAATAGCAGCTCTCTGAGGCCAATCCAGAGAAACATGTTTACTTTTTGAACCTGAAATGATGACAGCATCATATTAGCATACCGTAAATGGTTAAAATCTATCTACACCATTATTTTCAAAGGGAGTGCCTCGAATAGCAGCTCCAGTTCTTATGACTAATATAAAAGGTAATGAAACTAAGATACAGGGTTGGGAGTAGAGGGGTGATGCATTGTTGTGATTGGACTCAATTAGCAACCACAACCTTATCCCTAATTCCCTATTCTTATTTTTCCCCCCTGTAATCTTGCACCACTTTGAACTTGCTCCTCCCAATGTCTCAACTCCACTCTTTTATCTACTCCAAAAGATAAATAACATAGAAGCATCCATATAAACAAAGCAAGCTACCAAACTTGAAGTACAAACAAGGAAGAGATAAAGATGGGAATTTGAAAGAGGGACTCAAATAGGAGGATCAGAATATATCTATATCTCAGGTTCTACAATATCTAATATTATGATGTCCTTAGTTCATCTTTTACATATGGAAGGCATAAAAAGATACATGGTTTGATACTTACCAAGTAAAACTCTGGCAAGGCTGTTATTTTCCAAATACTCATAAACCAATATCCGATGATTGTCATCAACACAACATCCAATGAGTTCAACAAGGTTTGGATGCCGTATATTTGAAATCATATTCATCTCTGTCAAGAATTCACGTGTTCCTTGTTTAGACTCAGCTGAGAGAGTCTTGATGGCTACTTGAGTGCCATCCCTTAAAACTCCCTGCAAGGACAGAATGCAAAGTTGCCTAAGTACCATATTTATTCTTGGTTTTAAAAGGTGGAGGAGAATAGCAACTCTCATACAGAAACCAGGCAACCTAATCTCTCTCTCATGTCTGAAGCCACTAATGCAGATGCTGGTACAGGGATAGACACACATACAAATGAACAAACGAAAGAACTGCTCTCTTTCAGAGGGTGAAGCAGCTATTGTAAAGACAATCCATCATTTCTCTTACCCTGTAGACAACTCCAAAACCTCCTCCACCTATTCTGTTTGATGGATGGAAATCCGCTGTTGCTGATCTCAATGAATTATAAGAAAAGCGCCTTACATTATTGGTGGCAATCTCTATTAATGCACAAATAGGAAGTATAAGCAAGAGTAAAAGTGCATACGTGCCTTCTCATATACACAATACAATTGGAAGAGATTCAACATAAATTATAAAGAGAATCATCTAAAGCACCACGATTGTAGAAATAATGTAAAAGAAACGCACACAGATTTCGATGAACTAGCCAATGATTGACAGCAATAATATGTCACTAGTTGCATAAGAATAAGATATGACAAAATTCAGCAAAGTGGTCCAAGGTAGGGGAATTTTCTGATCCAGGGCAATTTTTGTTCTCTTTGAATTGAGGCGCTGCATTCTAGCCGAGGAGGCTGTAAATTTGTAATAGGCATATGAGGTACTCAATCTAGGTGCATTATTTTTTATTGAACTAGATGGCCTGAAAGAGGGAAAAGTCCGGTTGCCATGTTCTAGAGAATCTCAGTAGTGCTCTTGCAGGACACATCTCTTTTTCATGGAACCAATCAATTTCAGCAAAAGGTGTTTAAACTTTCAAACATATTAAAAACACAAATTAACAAGATTTATGGCTCCAAAGACTGTGACAACCTGATTTTCTACTTATATTCAGCAAATTACTTCTGCTAATTCCTACAAATGAATAAAAATCAAAGATCAAATCAAAGGTTTAAGAGGTGACACATTTGAGATGAACAGCTGCAATTCTTAAAATCACTCAACAAAAGAAACAAACCACCAAATGAAAGGAATCACACTCTCAAGTCTCAAGTCCGTACGTTGTGCCTGCGTCTGATCATCACTTTTCTTCCCTTTGCACCAATCAAACGCACCAAAACATCTGAAACTCATCGAATATCCAAACACCCAACTCAAGATCTCCAAGCTATGGACTTTAAACTCATAATCCACATCTTTCTTCAGCTCTGAATCACCCAGAACAAAAGGATTACCATAATGCTAGAAAAAGCGCCAACCACCAGCATCAAACCGACACAATGTATTGAATGAAACACAGCAGAATAATTCAAGTAGACAATGGTCTGGCCGGTGAATCCACTTACATACAAAATACAAAACCGTAAATGCCTAACCTTAATCCCCATTAGCTTTGAAGGGCCACAAAAGCCGTACTGTACTCTTAAGAAGAAGAAGAAGAACAACAACAAGAAGAAGAGAGTGACCCCAGACAGACAGCAAAAAATGATTGGAAAAAAAAAAAGACCCATTTATCATCAACAAAAATAAAAATGGGAGATGGGGGGTGGAAAATTTAGCGCAAGGAATCGATAGATAGGAAAAGAAGAAAAAGAAAGATGTTTTAACAAAAAGAAAGGAGTGAAAGGGACAAGGTTGGTTGATTACCATATGGAAGGGAACACAGGACGGCTAGTGCAGCCTCTTGCGCACTTTAAAGATGGGAGTTGGTGCCTCTTAATGGACTTTTTTGCTCCGCGACTAGGGTTTCCCAACTCCCTAGCGGACAAAAGGTTTGATATCACCAGCACCATGCAAAAGCAATCCCCCTTTCTATAAAACCATAAATCTTTGAGAGAAAAGAAGAGAGGAAGAAATCCGTCGCCCTTGCATGATTATGAGTTTGACGTTTATGACGAAAAGATTGAAATTGTGGTATCTTATGGTGTCTGCTGCCCTTTTCTTCTGGTAACATGACACAATGCTCTGCGTCGGCATTTCGTAGTGATGGTGACCCATCCACTTTCATCGCTGTCCATGCATTTGTTGGTACTCCCCCCCTTCAACCGTAG